ATAACACTCGACTCTTCTTCTCAGTTTCATCTGATTACTCTTCACGATTTTTCGTTTCCAAAAGATCTCGGACTCCCTGTATATATATAAGTAGGCAGTTTAACATATAGTACAGTAGATATTTATTATTGATACATAAATTGCAAGAGAGAGAGAGAGAGAGAGAGAGAGAGAGAGAGAAGAGAGAGGAGGAGAGAGAGAGAGAAGGCCGAAAAACGCGCGATATCGCACGGAAGACTCATGTGTGTCACGTGCTCGCGGTACGCCGCTAAAGTTTGCGGGGCATCGATCGTCCTCTGCACACGCGGTCTTTCGCGGAGTCTCATCGCGCGGCATGTCGTCGTCGTCGTCATCGTCGTCGTCGTCGTCGTCGTCGTCGTCATCGTCGCGGTCGTCGCAGGAGGCAGTTCTCTCATTTGGGCGTGTGCGCACGGTATGCGTGGTATACGCTCGCGCGCTGCTCATACTCGCGACGAACGAACGAACGAACGAACGAACGAACGAACGTACGAACGAACGAACGAACATACGGACGGACGAACGTACGAACGAACGAACGAAGGAGCGACCGCGCGCGGCCAGAGTACGCACTTACGCACGATCGACGCGGATCGTTCACTGTGCGTGGCGCGCTTCGTTGCCATGACGACCGGTGGCAGTGCCACGCATTGATCGCAGACTCCCGCTTGCTCGCTCGCTCGCTCACTCACTCGCTCGGCGGTGCGTAGACTGCTGATGGAGTCGAGAGAGAGAGAGAGAGAGAGAGAGAGAGAGAGAGGGCGAGAGAGAGGAGGGCGAGAGAGAGAGAGAGAGAGAGAGAGAGAGAGAGAGAGAGAGAGAGGAGAGAGAGAGAGAGAGAGAGGGCGAGAGAGAGAGAGAGAGAGAGAGAGAGAGAGAGAGAGAGAGAGAGAGAGAGAGAGAGAGAGAGAGAGAGAGAGAGAGAGAGAGAGAGAGAGAGAGAGAGAGAGAGAGAGAGAGAGAGAGTGCGTAGAGACGGCGACGGAGAAAGGAGCGTAGAGAAGAGGAGAAGAGAGGAGAGGAGGAGAGAAACGCACACCACGGATGCACGTGCGCACGCACGCACGCACGCACGCACGCACGCACGCACGCACGCACGCACGCACGCACGCACGCACGCACGCATGCACGCACGCACGCACGCACGTATGCACGCACGCACGCACGCATGCACGCGCGCACCCGAAGAGGCAGACATCGGGGATAATGCGCGTATACGAGCGGACACGCCGGGCTTCCTCGCAGCGCGAGGCAAGAGAGGCTTTCTTTCGTGTTTTATAACGACGATTCGGCGCGTCCGTCTCGGCCGTGGGCCGTAGGCTTTATTTTCGCGCTTGTCGCCCCGCCCCCTCCCCCGTCCTCTTCCTCCCTTTCCCAGCCGCCGCGCTCTTATATGCCGCGCAAGATGACGAAAATTATTAATTGAGCTGTTCTTCTCTTTCGGCAACTCGCACACGCTTGATCGAACGTTTAACCGAGCCGTTTCGCCGCCGAGCATCCTCGACGCTTCAACCGCCCCCTCGTTTCGCCCCCTCGTTTCACCACCTGTGAGAGGTGCTTTCCGTTTCCCGCGTTGGCCCTTTAAATCTGTTTCCAAGCCGTGAGATGAGACTCGGCCTGATGTCGTCGCGGGAGACGGTTCGCGGTGGTAGTTGGTGGCCCGATTAAAGAGAGAGAGAGAGAGAGAGAGAGAGAGAGGAGAGAGAGAGAAGAGAGAGAGAGAGAGAGAGAGAGAGAGAGAGAGAGAGAGACGTTTCAGTACACGCGTGCGCTCTCGCCGGCGTTTTTCGACGGCGGCTTCTACGATTTTTCTTCGCTGCGATCTGCCGAAACAGCGGCCAGGGGGAAAGGGACGAAGAGGGGTTAAATCCACGTCCTCCTGCGCGTCCGCGAAGACATCAACGGCGGCGGCGGCGGCGGCGGCGGCGGCGGCGGCAGCTCGAGGTAATAAAATCGCGTCGCAGCGCGTCGCTCGGCCAGAAGCGGCAATGGATGAACGAAAGGGTTAGCTTCGAGATTAAAAGGAAGTCACCCCCTGCACACCTCCCTTCTCATCTCTCCATCAATCACAATTATATCCTCTCTCTCCCCTGCTATCGTTCATAATTACTGCTCGTGACTTTATCCCGGCGCTCGAAGCTGCCGGTCGACCGGCTCGACGCGTAGCGCGCGAGCGACCGAGAGAGAGAGAGAGAAAGACAGATGAAGGAAGAAGAGCGGGAGAGAGAGGATGTGTCGCGAGAGAGCGAGACGGGGAGTACAATCGACTTTTGGCACAGAGATTACTGTAAAACTCCCGGCCGCCGGGGATGGAAGGAATCTCGAGTGGAGAGAGAAAAAAAAAGTTCCAAACCCTCCGGCAGTATGTAGTCACGATCTCGTCGCGGAAACGGAAACGAAGCTGTAATCCCTTAAAAAAAGGGAGAAGAAATTCTCTCTCTCTCTCTCTCTCTCTCTCCCCCTTGCCCCTTCACGCTCCCTGTCTCTCTCGAAGCAGCGCGCAGCGCGAGGAACGAGAAATCTCCCTCGCCGCGCTTCGAATTTTCTACGCCGCGATACGCGCGCGCGGCTCGTGTGCGTGCGCGCTGTTTTTTTATTTATTATTTTTTCTTCCCTCGAACGCAATGGAAAACGCGGCTGTTCGTTCAACACACACGCACGCGTCACACGCACACTCGGCACACGCTCCACTCCCGCGGTAAATAATGTCACGCGGCGATTCGATGACGCAGAGCGCTCCCGGGAGCGCGCGCGGGGTAGCGAGCGGTGCAACGGTGCATTAAACGCCACCGCCACCGCCGCCGCCGCCACCGTCGCCGTCGTCCACCAACCGATGAACTTACGTCACATTAAAAAAAATTGTTACCGAGTAGCCAAGGTCGCTTTTTTTCAATGCGAGTTCGCTCGGGAGAAAAAAAATATCATAGGTAAAGTCGCCGTGTGCCGTCAGCGCTGACCTTACACACACATTTTTTTTTCACACACGATAAACTCTCGACTCCGTGTGACGGGCGATGTGTGTTCTCTCGCTGACTGCATCATCTGCGCCGTTCATACCGACCGACCGACCGACCGACCGACCTCGCGACCGACTTGCGGCCGCCCGCGGGCTCCTGCGACCTCGCGACCGCTGACTTCGCCAATTTCCGATCGCCGATCGATTTATTTTCAGGAGGAACTCGCGATTCCCGTCTCGCGCTCTTGCCGAAAAATGTAATAACTACGACGCGAAGTGGGATAGAGGGCGAGGGAGAAAGAGGGAGGGAGGGGGAGAGAGAGAGAGAGAGAGAGAGAGAACTGTTTGCAGCGAAAGGATAAGGACCGAGAGAGGGAGAGGGAGAGGGAGAGGGAGCGAGATAATCCGAGGCAAAGTGGCCGCAGGAGCCTGGAATATTTCCGGGCCAGGCCAGGAGGAAAGGGTTCGCGCAGGACGAGGAGGTGAGGGAGGCGAGGCAAGGCGGGAGAGGCCGCGTCGCGAACTTGACCTATCTGACCGCGCGTCGCGTTTAGGACACATCACAGAAGCGGAAATGGGTCAAACGGGATTTAATGCGACGCGGGCGAGGCTCCTCCACGTTCAGAGGACGTGGACGTGGACGTTGCGCTGGTCGGCTCGCGATTTTCATGAATTCGATCATGAGAGCGACGCGATGTACGGGCCGGCGGCTCTCCTCCTGACGGCGCGGCGCGCTCGTCATCTTGCGGCTGGCAGGGATCAAAGGTGGGCTTCCTCTTGCCGAAGCGTGACATCTGGACGCCGTGAAGCGACCCGGAATCTCGATTTAATCTCGAGAAGGCTCCAGATGCGAGAGGCCAACCGCGCGGCGATCGCCGCTCGATTATCGCCGCTGAAACGGCGCGGCCGCTGGCTGGCTGATGCGCCCGCGGCGCGGCCCGCTTTTTCCTCAGCTGAAACCCTTAGATTCTAAGCGTGCGCGATCGCGCACTCGAAACTGATGAAATGTCGCGCGAAACCGCAAGAGAGACACGCAGCGCAGTCCGCGAGGCCTCGTGCGAACGCCTCGTTCAAACGCGGAGCGAAGCCGGACGGAGCGCTTTCGATCGGCGGCGCGATCTTCGTCGCCGGGAGCAGATGCTGCGTCAGCCTCGCTCTTCGTCGTTGAATGAAGATATCCGCTCGCACATGGACGCAGAGCGGAGAAACGCATATGAGACGCGACAAGTCTCTCTCTCTCTCTCTCTCTCTCTCTCTCTCTCTCTCTCTCTCTCTCTCTCGACTTGGAGCAGCGACTCGGAGCTCCGTCGGGGGAATTCGGCCGGTACGTCGAGCTTCAAACGTCGACTTCGGCATCTTCTTCTTCTTCAGCAGACATCTTCCTCGCAAACACAGCGGGTGCGGGGGACGGGAGAGGACTCGACTTCCGCGAATTTTCCAGCGGCAAGTTCCCTCGCGCGGGGGCCATCGACCACGCCGTTTCGAAGAGCCGCGCCGTTTACACGAACGCGCGCGTCTCGCCCAGCTCAGATGAGCGGATTCTTCAGCCATGCGAGCGAACGCTTCAATCGATTAGGCTGAATTCCCGTGTCACGCTGGAGCGCATTGAACTCACCGTTCGACTCGGAATGAACGCATTCACTCGCAGCGCGCGCGCGCGCGCGAGAATTCTCCGGCGGAAGAATTTTCCCCGCGCGACTGAAAAATCATTCAACTTGGAAGCGACTCGGCTTTGTCGTCCTCCTTCGGCCGAGGAAACGCGACGGCGGCGGTTTCGATGCGTCATCACCTCCTCGTGACAGCGCCGAAACGACGTGTGCTGCCGAGCGTGTTCGGCGAGCCGGCAGGCCCTCCTCGCAGAATTTCCTCGATTAATGCACGCGCGATCCTTCGCCTCGCGACATGTACGCGCGCTCGCTCGCAGGACGACCTCGCTTCCACCTCGCAAGCCCCCGCCGCGTGGCCCTGCCGGGGCCCCCTCCCCCGCCCCCTCCCCCTCGCCTCACACACGCTTACACGCGTGCATATAAACGGAAACCCTTGGAGTAGCCTCTACCATCCACCTCGTGTGTACCGACACTTCTGTCACGCACGAGTGGAGGGAAACGCGCGTAAGGTACAAGTGCATGCCGTGTGAGCCGTATAGGTGCAACGCGCACCGCGCGCGCACACGCGCGCTGCACTTACGCGCGCGCGCGCGCCTACGATTCACCCCTCTTTCCGTTGGAAACGCCGAGGGATGCCGAGGGGAGCTGCGGAGGGTACGGGGGCGGCTCTCGAGCGCGGCGTACGTACGTGGGTGCGTGCGGCGGAGGGAGAGAGGAAGAGAGAGAGAGAGAGAGAGAGAGAAAGAGAGAGAAGGAGCGCTACTCTCCGAGCGGAACGGAATCTATAGCGGGAGCACGAATCCAGGGCGCGTGAAACGTCTCTCTCTCTCTCTCTCTCTCTCTCTCTTTCTTTCTCTCTCTCTTTCTTTTTCTCTCTTTCTCCCCTCTTCTCTCCGCTGTCCTCCTGCTGCTCGCGGAAACGCGCTTTTTCAGCAGCGTCGACCGCCCGGACAGGTCGACGGGAACGTCGGGCGCGAGTCGAGCGGCCGATCGTCGCGCGGTCGCGCAGAGGAGAGAATCAGGCGGCACGAACGATACGAAAACGTTTCACCCCGAAGAGACGAGAGGACGTCGGCGACAATGACGGGGCGACGGCGACGGGGAACGCCGCGAAAAGGGTGCTGCGCGCGCGTTGCCCCGCAACATTTCCGCGGTACACTCGCGCGTGTCTGACCTCCAGCGTCCCCCCCCCCTCGCCGCGGGCTTTATCCCGCTCGTCCTCACCCTTGTGTCACCCGTCGCACGGGCCTCACACCCCCGTCTTCCGTCCTTTGCCAACCGATGGTCCTGGGATCCTTTATTTTACGTCCCGGCTCCCTCCGCCGCCGCCGCCGCCGCCGCCGCTCCCGCATTCCTGCGAGCATCTAGGACATCCACCTTGCGCCGATAAGGCGCCACGATTAGAAACGCGCGCGCGATGTCGTGCTTCACGCGACATTCCGCCATAACGGGAGGACCGATCCTCGGGAGCGAGGCGATTGTGCGAAACGCTTATCGCACGGAACTCGCGGAACGACGATTTATCTGGACAAGCGCTCTCGCGATGGATTATTTCGTCCTCTCGCGACCAGGATAATCGCGCGCGCGTTCATCCGCTTGGTCCTTACGTAACAGTAATAATACAGGGGGGAATCGTCGTCGGTAGTGGGCCGTTCAACTCCTCGGGACTCCGTCTTGTCTTCGTTTTACGTATGATCGTTTATATAAATAGCTTACATAAAAAATAATATTCACCTCCGAGCTTCATCACGCAACGTACGAGACTCTCGCTCCGTCCCTCTTGAGTCTCATTGGGCAACTCGCTCGTTCATCGGGGCGCACTCCCGAGTGAAAACTTCCTACCTTCTTACGTGAACAAAGAACGTAATAATAATAATAATAATAATAATAATAATAATAATCAAAAAGAAACGGACTGGAAACTGACAATCTGCGATATCAAGGCGAAGCCGCAATCGCGCGCAATCGTTCTCGCAATCGACGATCCAGGCGATCCTCGGGGGCGCGCTTCTGCTCTCCTCTCCGCTCAATAAGGTAAAAAGGCTCTCCGCTCTCCGTGCGCCGTATTTAACGACGAACGGGCCGCTATACGCGAGCGGAAGCGAGATACGGCTGTGCTCCCTCTCTTTCTCGCTCTTCCTCTCCCGCCGGAGGATCATCTCGCCGACGGCGGCGGTTTATCGTCGACGGAAACGTTCGAGCCGTGCCGGCGCGTCTCGCAGCTTCGATATCGTCCGTAACGAGAGCGGATTTACGCCGGGACGCCGCGATGGACGATATATTTCGCGCGACGCACACTACGGCAGCTACGTTGATAACGCGCGCTCGTGTCCGCCTTTTAACACACCGCTGGTAAAGCGCACGCGAGCCGCGCCTCGTCGCGCCTCGTCGCGCGCGCGCGCAATTCTCGCGAGGGTACGTCCCGCTCACAGAACGCTACATTATCGGTACGCAGGGACGCGACGCGCGCGTCGCGTCCTGATCGCGCGGGGAAAACGCTTCGATTAATTGGCCGCAAGTGCGTCTAGTGGTTTACCCTTGGGAGCGAGCGCGCGATCTCGACGCACTTCGCCCGTGATACTCCCGATCCTCTCCGGTCGCTCAATAATTCGGCGCGATCTCGCACGTGCAACTGTGCGGGAACCAGAATACGTCCGTATACAGGCGATTGCCGCTGCCCTCGAGCGCGACCAGCCTCTTCTGCACGAACTGCTGTTGACACCTGCTGCGGTAGCCCATAGGAAGGGAACATATGCCGTTGCATTCGTCGTTCCTGAAAACAGACGGAGCGGAATCGTGAGCGCTCTTCGTCGTCGATCTCTCGAGGGAGGGTCGTCGAGGGATCTGCGAGAGTCTCCGATCTTGAAGTTCGGAAGGCAACTCCTTCGAAACCTAGGAGCGCAAGTCTCAAGGCAGCTCGAACGATACTGATCGAGATTTTGCTGGTCAGATTTTGCGTCGACAAGGAAATGCCCGTACAGCAACATTGCTGCAACGTTGCAACATGCTGCGATATCGCAGTGATGCTGCAACTTTGGTGCTGTACACAGAGTCATTCAGTCCACCGCTTATCTTTCAGAAAATATTCCCGATTAGATTCTGAGACGAGTTTCCTTTTCTCAAGATTTCGTTTGAAGTTTCATCCTTGAGGTATGAGAAGTAACAATCGAACCTATTATGGCTCGCATGTAGGAAAGGCGAAAGTAAGCGAGGCGTAACTATTAACTGTCGACGCGCATGCGCCTGCGTCTAACGTCACGCCACTCTTGTAACTTCTATCAAGCAAACCGCTTCTTCTTGAAACTCAAAAACTAGAATTTTGCGGACAGAGTTTTGCGAGAAGGAAAGTCATCTGAGAATATAGTCAGGGATATGTCTCTTGCACGCTACTTGTGAAAATTGTAAGGTAACTCGATAGTTCGAGAATTTGGTACTTCTGACTGGGCTTTCGGCCCTTTCTCAAAGCATATAAAAGTATCATCAAGAGACCAGGTAAATTGTAAATTGAGGATTAAAAATTGGAAAAATTGGAACAATCGAGATAAAGCGAGCCAAGATCGAAATTAACGAACTCATCAAATTCTATGATCCGCAGGCCTTAATCCCCAACGCCAAAAGGAGACTGGAATTCTATTCGGGAGCGTCGAGTCGAGTCGTAAAGTCGAGCTGCCAGCGTCGCACACTTGAAGACTCTCGCCGGGAGATCTTGCCACTTACAAGCATTTCTCGCTCTTGACGAGCTGCGTGTACTTGTTATCCTGGTCTGAGAGATTGACAATGTACATCCAGTTGCCTTGATTGTTTAGGGCCGCTCTAGGCACGATATACTGCGCCTGTGTGGGGCACAGCACGACAGTGTCTGCATTCGACTGCCTCTTCACGCGGTCGCTCGACTTTGATTTCGCGTAGCTCAACAGCGGATTCACGCGGTAAGTTCGAGGCGCCATCTTGTCGCTCCGCGAGTACCTGTCATGCAACACACGAAACACCGTAAAACGGATATCCAATTTAGATCGAGTTAACGCGCTCGAGTCATCCGTGCGATATTCTCAAGCGCGGCTTATGCCCAATTTCTTCACCTCTGGATAAGTCGTCGATAACTTTATTCATGAGATGAGACCTGCCAGAATCGGTTTTCTTTACCTTTGTAAAGTTTGTATCCGACAGATAAATCTTATCCGGTATACCTGAAGTAGCGGATACCTGGCGGATATTAATTCCAATGTCCTGACATAATTAAAAAATTACAATAATGCGTAATCTGCTGTTGGTGTTGTTGTTTTTATGAAAACACAACATGGATTTGTCACTGAATGAATATTAATATTTTTGAATCTGATGACAATGACGACGATGAGGAATTTGTGAAAAGAAGACCCTGTACAATAAGAAATAAACCGAACAATTTTCAAGTGTGGAGTGACACAGAATTTTTCGAACGATTTTACTTGAAAAAGAATATAGTGTTCGAATTATTACATGCAATTGAAGACCGATTGTTAATACTGCGGAAATTACTTTAATTTGTTAATACTAGCCCGGAAAAGAATATGTCGTTGGCAGTGATATGGTGATTTATAGCAAATTTCTAACACATTTTGTGTCAAAAGCTAGTAGCATGAAGAATAGCAGCTATCTGCTAGATACCAGTAACCAGAGGTTTCAGTGAAGAAAACGAACTTTTAGTTATCTGACGCATATATTTATATATATGGAAGATAGCTATTGGGAGGTGTGAAGAAACCGGGCATTAGACCGTTTTACTCGCAGTCTTATTTTATTTTATGATTAAGATTTTATAATTAAGATCGTCGTGAATTCATCTCAAGATGCTGTGAGAACCGTTGCATCAGCAATATGATATCTTGAGATTGAGTTTGAGACAATTTTAACCCCTTCATCGCCGATGAGACAAGGATTTACATCATTTTGGATTTTGCTGCCGCGGAAATACAGTTTTACATCGTGAATTATTATTATATTGCAAAATGTTGCCGCAGAACAAGATATGGCTGTCAGAAAAACGAGAATTTTCCGAATTTTTTCGAATATTCACGTCATGATATCTTGTTGCATCAAAATTTTACGATAAATTTATGATCGAAACATTGAGGGTTTCTGAGTTTGCTGAATATAATTTTGAAGTCGTGTTTACTTCTAAAGAGATATTCTGGTAAAAAAATTTTTAATTTTCTGTATTTTTGTGAACTTGAAATATTTCGATTTATTAAATCTTCAAACTTTTACTCGCGAGTAAATGAAAAACACAGATTTTCGACTATTTTTTGAGCGTTGAATTATTTTGAGGTCTGTAGAGTCAAATGGCGAGTATGGAAATAGAAATTATTAAAATTTGCAATCATTTATCGAATGATTTTGAATTTGTGTTATTTAAAACGCTAAAGTCCTCTTATTCTTGTAGATAATAGTATATTTTAATAATAAAATATATAAGCGAGAAATATACAACTAGGAGATTGTCAAGAAAATTTTGTGCATAATATTTTACATTTTTGGTTTTTTAGTTTTAATATTATATATAATATTATATATAATATTATTTGTCTTCGTACTTTCTTTTTCTTAATTTTTGTTTTTTATATTCTTTTAGATTTATATATATATTTATTATATAAGTATATAATATATCTTATTTCTGCAATTCTTTCACCCTTGTCGTTTTCAAAGTTAATGCAAGATAAATAAAAATTACTAGAGATAACGAACAAGGGATCAAATAAAAAAAATTATTTTAAAAATTATTTTTGATTGTTTCGTATTTTACGTGTTTTGTTTCTACATGTGTTTATATCTTTTTATATTTCTTGTTACATTATTATCATGTTCAGATATTGCAAGATTATAGATTAAGACAAGATAAGTCAACTGAATTCAACTGAACAGAAGCGAAATTCTCACAACTAATTTGTTAATTGGCGAGTTTGACATTACATTCTCAGTATAATTTTTAATGAGATATCTCTTAGCTGCACATTCAAATGTATCTTTCTTATTTGATAAAAAATGTGTGCGCGTGTGTGTATGCGCAAACTTCAAATTTGCTATTTTAGTCACTTTAGGTTTGTGACAAAGAATGTTTAAATTTCACTCGTCGAAATTCGTCGTCAGTATCATCAAAACCCCCCATCAAAGTCCCCGTATAAATTTTCATTAATTTTCGAGAATCTTGCGTTTGACATGTTGGGACGTGTCGAGGTCGAGGAAAATATAGAGCGGCAGTGAAGGGGTTAGATATAACATAAAATTTGAAAAAACCGAACGCCTCGTTTCAACGATTACCTATTCGTCAACCACGATTGATTCGGGCCGAACGCCTCCTGCGAATAAGTGTGCTCGGCCTGTCGTTGGATATTGCGGTGGTACTTGAACGCCACGTCCGGCAGCAACGGGTTCCTCTGTGACTGCGGCGGCGACGGCGCGGAGTATTTGTAGCTGCAATCCGACCCAAAGTCTGATCTAGGGCTTCCATACGGAAGCTGAACTTTCACACCGACTCGCGGTCTTACCCGTGATTGTAGCTACTGTTGGCCGGGGGTCCGTATATCGGGGCTGGCTGTCCGGTCGGCTGGAACAACCGAGTGCCGTCTTGTCGTGGGTAATCATAGCCCTGATTGTAATCCGGAGGAGAACTTGAACATGGCAGCAAAGAAGATAGCAGCGACACTCAAATGGGCGGGCGATCAACTTAGCGCTTGACTTAACCCTTTAACTATACCTACTGGTAACTATAGTCACCAGAAACGCATTTAAGAATCCATAACTTGTAAATAAAAGAGGAGATATTTCCGTTTTCTTTGCACCATTGTAAAGATGAATTCTTCTTGTAAAACATGGTATATAGATTGTGCGTAGATTCGGGATTTAGTCTGTTTTGAGCTCAGTTTTAATGATAACATGGAGCGGCCAGTTCACTTTGACAACAAGAAACTGAAGATGACCGAAGACATCAGGAAGGAATGTTACAACAAGCACATGTCTGTCTAAAGAAAACGGTAAAAGACGTTGTCAATTGTGCAGCTTAAAAGGGAAGCAAAGCAGGACAAAAGTAATTTGCAAAACCTGTAAAATTCCCTTCTGCATCTCTCGATGATTCATTCCGGGTAAAGAAAGATCAAGTTCTGAATATGAGTTTTATGTTTCGAGGAATTCTTCCTCGAAATCATTAGGCATAATATAAAATTATTAAAACTAAAAACTAAAAAAGTTAACCGATCAGGCGTATTTTTCGCTTCTGCGAGTAGTTTCCGCTTGGAAAGGTAGTTTCTCGTAGATATAAAATTCTGATATTTTTTTTGGTTATCACTACTTATAGGTCTCAGTTAAAACAAAATTCTAATTCTTACTCTTAAGACACTTACAAAAAAGTCAGGCGTTAAAGGGCGTTAAACCAATAACTTGCTCGTCAACTTAAGGGTTGAAACATCGAGGCGACCGAGTCCTCTCGGTTTCAGTTGATAACTCTGACTTTGCGAGCTCGACTAAAAGGATTGGCATATCGCGACGCGGCGCGGCGCGGCGCGGCGGAACTCGCACACCGTCGATTTCTCCCAGCGATTTTACGGCGTTATACCTTTACGAAATTTGCGCAGAAGAGGCGCCGATAAAATAGCTCTACCTGTACGAGTTGAAGTCGTCGCGGGACTCGTCCCGCAACGCGCTGCTAAAGTCGTAGCTGCATTTGTCCACGAGAAACTTGATGAGCCGGCTGCAAAGACAATGAGACAAGAATAGAAAAAAGAAAAAGAGCGTTGTAACGGAATACAATGCGCGCGATAAAAAGAGGCGTAATGAGTCTCGCCGGGCCGAGACCTTTGACCAGCGCGGGGCATTCGCCGGCGGGCGAGCGATCGAGGAGCACGACCGAGATTTGCCTAGCGGACTGACAAAAACGCTATTTACGCAGGTGCGTTTCCAATCGAGTCGCCTTGCGCAACTCCGCGTTAGCTTGCTCAAGCGAGTGTGTTTGGCGAGGCGGAGCGTTTGTTTGTCGCGGCGAAGCAACGCGCGCGATGTTTCGCGCGAATGCCCGCCGTGCGTGTGCGTAACGCCAACACGCACACAAGCGCAACGTGACGTTGCGCAACACAGCAACCCGCTGATTCGATACTTTTGACGTACTAATTGACCGCCGGGTCGCTTCTGTGACGCTTCTGTGATTGTCCCCAACTTGACAGCTCCGTCGGCCGGCACCGCGCGCGCGCGAACTTCTTCGGCCGACGCGATGAATTATTGCACGCGAACGCGTCGTCGGTCTCTATTCGTAGTCGGATCTTGTATTTGATATCATCTTCGGTTTATCTTGGGACTATACAGACCATGTCATTGGTTACGAAGTATCTGAACGTGAACCAAAGACGATCTTTCGCACGTAAGACTCGACTATCGAATACAGCCTGTAGCGTTCCGGTTGATTGGAGCCTCGTTGACTCTTGCCGCCCTGACACATTGATCGCTTCACGATTGATTGTACGAAAGTTTGATCGACAATCGGATTATCAAAGATAAATAACGAGAGAGACACGGTAAGTGACACACGGTAAATAAAGTACGGTGTATGAAAATCGAAATTTCCGCGGAATGTTGTGGGCGAGAAACGCGAGTCCAACGCGGGAGATGAATCTAGCATAAGATTGCATGTTTGCTTGAATCTAGATAAAGTCATGTGGATGATCATTCAGATGAAGAATTTTGGCGCCAATTTATCTTTAATTGCTTAATAGAAACATATATTACTTTCATCCGCAAAATTATCTAGATGACGTTGATAGATAATTTAGACGCCATTGAATGTAAATGTGTAGGACACTGAAATATTCTATCCTTTTGTACGTAAAAAATGCGTTTGAGTTGGTGCGTTAGAAACTCTTATCTTATCCTTTTAATCTAGATAATCTAGATTAAAGATAGTTTTTAACCAGATAAAGTCATGTAGATGAAGAATTTTAGCGCCAATTTATCTCTAATTGTATAATGGAAACATATATTACTTTTATCTGCAAATTTATCTAGATGACGTTGATAAATGATTTAGTCCACGTTGTTGTAAATGTGTAGGACGTTGAAGTATTTCCTTTTATACGTAAAAAGTGCGTTTGCGTTAGGAACTTTTATCTTATCTGTGCTTAGCTTATTTGAAATCATCTAAGCGCAGTACTGCTACGATATAAAGAAATTCTGCTCGAGAGAGAGAGAGAGAAAGAGAGAGAGAGAGAGAGAGAGAGAGAGAGAGAGAGAGAGAGAGAGAGAGAGGGAGAGAGAGAGGGAGAGAGAGAGAGAGAGAGAGAGGAGAGAGAGAGGAGAGGAGAGAGAGAGGAGGAGAGGAGAGAAGAGAGAGGAGAGAGAGGAGAGAGAGAGAGAGAGAGAGAGAGAGAGAGAGAGAGAGAGAGAGAGAGAGAGGAAGAGAGAAAGAGAGAGAAAGGGGGAGAGAGACGAATGCATCTATTATTTTAATTCCCCCCCTCCCTCGTTGATCGCACGAGCAATTTTCAAGAGCGATTAATTATATTTTTGTGTGTAACTTAATAAAAACGCGATAGTACGCGATCCGTACCGGTTACCGATAACCGACGCGGCTTGATATTCTTCCGCCTTCCTCTCCGTGCAACGAGAGGCGAAGGCCTCTCGTTTTCCTCATTAACAACGAGGAAGCGTCGTCATTCGGCGATCGATATTCGAGTTTGGCGTAACGAGGTAACGGGTCCGATAATTATCCAACCAGCGCGTATGACCGCGTCAAGGCCACGGTCCATGGTACGCTGAGCAATGATTTCACGGACGCTTTTACATTGTGCCGTGGCGTCGGGCCCCGCTCACTTTACGTAACTCTTCGTGTCTTCGGGAAGGTGAGCGCGAAAACGCGCAGGAAATTTAGGAAATCGGCTTGTAACGCCATTTGCCGGTACATTTGATGGTACATGCCATGGTAGGTGCCAACGACAAAAGCGTTCTAACGAGCCGGTTTCTCGGTTCTCGGAGCACAGCACATGCCACCTCCTCGTGAGACGTTTGTATACGTACATTCATCGACATCCGAATATCTCTATTCGGATATTTCATCGTACACCATGATGAGCATTCTCGGTCCTATCAGCGGCCCTTGACCTCTTGTATCTGATCGGTGTGTTATTTTCAATAGAAGATACGTACCGATCAGATGCAAGAGCTTACTGGATGGTCCGAGAACGGTCGTATCACTGATCAATGACACGTTGCGCCAATTTCCTATAAGACAGTTCGAGAAAGGTGTGAGAGGCGACTTTTGGCGATCGTTTGGTATCCAAAGTTGATCCAAGGTTCATCGCTCAGAGATGTAGCGTATTTTGATAGATGCGCTTCTACCGTGTATCGCTATGGACGCTAAAACGGATTGGTCCTTTGCTATTTGCGCGCGACTTTGAAACCGTTCAAAAATACCGGTTGCGTTCAGCGGAGATGGTTCGGTGAACGCTTAGTGATTATTATTCCTGTATTAATTGTCACGTTCTTACGGGTCGATCAGAGATCTGAAGGAATACTTCGGTGACTATCGAGCTACTTTCTCCAACAATTTCTTGCTGCTACGTATGAATATCGAAACAATGAACATAAGTTGTAGAACACCTTATCGGATAAAACGTATAGTGAAGAAATGCATGCCTGTGATGGAATTTCATGGACAGTTCCATCATTTTATTAAATGAAAAAAGCAAAGAGAAACTACGTGCACTATGTGCAAATAAATAACAACGCTAGTGGTCCTGAATTATGTTCTGGAATGTCGATACCGAAATTTGCATACTGAGAGTGACCTTTTTCTGCATTGCGGATTTAGAAGTTTAATGTTTCAACAATTATTACGATTGACAATACAGAAAGAAATTCAGAAAGTAACAAATAATTTAAATTCCCCGTAATATAATCATATTCTTCGCAAACTTATTGAAATTGACAAATATTTCTTTTTACACACTTTTTGTGTAATAATATATTATAATCTTTTTCTTCATTTAAAATCGGTTAGCCGTGATTGTCGGTACGTAACAAAAGTTCAGCTACTGAAACTTCAGTATTTTTTACCGATGCCTACTGGGTCTCTGACTGCAGCTCTAATTGGCATGTAGGACGTTGCTTATCTATTCTATATTTGACACCTATTTGCTACGTGCCAGAAACTTGGAAAAGCTATCCTGTTTTGCTGCGAAAGGTGTAATGTGATATCAACCAGAAAGATAGTAAAATGGTCAGTCACACTTTGACCACAAAATACATGAAAACGTTCTGCCACAGTTTTGCCACACTTTGCCACATGTGTTGAACCTCGCCGAAACTTGCTGTTTTGGAAACTGGCGAGAAGCCATTCAATTGGCTGCGAAGCTCGTCCAATCGCATCGCGCGCTCTGGTACGTCAACTTTCTTTGGTGTAGTCAAACTGAACGTCTCCATTGTCGACCGCCCTTGCAAAGAGATTGCCAATAGACACAAATGTCTTAGAACAGACTCTGCCTGTAGAACTCGTCCTACCGTTTCTCGCGCACTCATTATCGTTTATCGACCACTCCAATGCATTACGTGGTTATTTGGAAAATGGCGTAGGACTGACCCGCTCGGGTTAACCATATAAGGCTGGATTCTCACTGTCCGTCTCTAGATAGCGGTAGATAAAAGTCTGTTAATATTCTGTCAAATTTTTCGGACAGAAACGATCGAAATGTGATGACGATGAGATACTGTGAATGGTCTGATGCAAAAACATCGAGGAATGTTTCGACGAGGAGGATTCACAGAGTCCTGTCTGTCGCCGGCTAGAGGAACAATGGGAATCCAGCCTCTTAACCGAACAAGCATGAGCGAGACGCTGATTCAACCTAAGGTAGCAACAGATAAGCAAGATAGCAGCGCAATGAGAAACGTTACGACCGAAAGAACTGAAACGGTGTAATACAGGCTTGGAAAGTGGAGGTCAATCGCTCGGGAGGTGGTTGGAGGCCCAGAGAAAAAAAGTTGATACAAACGAAGACCGGAAAATATGTTGTTCTCAGGTTATCGCCATTTTTATGTCAAAATTTCAAATAGCCACAGGTGTGACGAAGAGATCTTGATCTCTACTAAAGGATGTTGAGATTGGGCTGTGGCTCCACATGATGCATCCTAGGGTGCATCCTACTGAAGCAGCCCCTACAACTTTTGACTTTATGTTCTAGAATTCATATAAAAACCATTTCTTCCTTCAATGTCGACCAAAAAATTCGAAAGCAGAGCAACTTGAAATTTCAACGTAAGAAAGGCGATCACTTGAAACAATGCGTTTCCGGATCTACGTCCATATCATCAACTTTGTTCCTCGTCTTCGGCTGCCCGATCATCTCTCGAGCGACTGACCTCCGCTTTTGAAACACCCTGTATATCGGGCGAGCAAGTGTCGTAAATGATGAAAATCACGAAAATCATGTCCGAAGGACAGATGTCTACGAACAAATGTCCAACGACGACAAAATGGCGAACGACCAAGTGACCTGCTACCGGTTTCTCTCTCTCTCTCTCTCTCTCTCTCTCTCTCTGTCTCTCTCTCTCTCTCTCTCTCTCTCTCTCCTTCTGTCTTTCTCTCTCTTTGCCCCTCGTTTCTCCGGCTAAACCCTGGTGAAGGATCTCTTTTTATGGGCGAGAATTCTCGGTATAGTCGGTTGTGCAAGCCCGCTAACGCAAACGCACGCGATGCTTTCGAGAAACGGATTCTCACTCTCTTGGCGCGACGCGGAGAATCTAGGCGGAACTTTCCCTGCCGTGTGATCCGTCTCTCTCTCTCCCCCCCCCTCTCTCTCTCTCTCTCGAGCGCGCGCGCGCGCGCGCTCACGCTCGCGAGCACACCCGCGCTCGTCTTTGGTCATTCGTATGCGCGGAGGAAGACGGAAGAGACGACGCGGACTCGCCGAAAGGAATATCAACAATTGGAAATGGGTCGCGACCCGACCCCGTCGCGAATCCTCGCCGACGATCGCCGTCTGCGTCCGCGCGTCCAATTTCCACTTGTTGCGCCGCCGCCGCCGCCGCCGTCGCCGCCGCCGCCGCCGCCACTACCTACCGCTGACGCGGTCTCGGGGAAGATTTCGAGTGCACTTGCCGTGGATAATGGTCCGGAGACTCGCAGAAAGTCTGCCCCGGTGCCGCGCAGTTGGGGGTGTGTCCCGGGGGCGCAGGGACGAAGGGCTCGTACGGCGGCCGTCCTGGACACCCGTACTCCGTGCAGGGCTCGCCCCGGATGACCATCGGGAACAACTGTCGTCGCGCGAGCGCGCGCGAGGCACACACGCGTGTACACATGCACACACAGAGAAACACACACACACACGTGAATTTTATCATTAGGCTATCATAAGAGAGTCGTCGTCGTCGTCGTCGTCGTCGTCGTAACTCGCGAAAGAGACCGCGCGAAATTGCATTGTTTCTTTCCTTCCCTCCTTCCCATCACCCGCTCGACTTCGTTTCCCTTCGTCTACTAGACTTCCGCGCGCGCGGGTGTCCTCCTCGTGGCGTGTGAAAGTCCGCGCGCGGAACTCACGAGACGCTCGTCGTCGGGACTCATCACGGCCGAGCGGAGCGGCCTCTTATCCTGCAGCGCGCGGGACCGTTTATTATTATGAAATACGCCGAGAGAGAGTCGCCGTAATCGATCGCTTATCAGGATTCCTTCCTGCATCGCGCGCTTTTTGCGATGCTGTTAGTCGGCTCTGATTCAGCGCGGCTACACGTAATCCCCAACCTCCGGATAGAAGAAGAAGAAACGAAGTGTCGGTCGTACATCAGCGATGCTGATGAGTCAACGAAAACCGCGATGAAAAAGATCTACAAAGCTCGCGCGCGCGCGCGCACGCGCAAGCGTAGTTGCGCGTTAACGCGCGACAGAGGACGTTACATCAGGTTTAAATACGGCTCCTCCGCGAGCGACGACTCCCCGAGGGACGCGAGATCCGTTATGTTCTTAGCATTAATTCGAATCAAGATGCACTTACGATTGTCATTAGGTGCCACGCGATCGCCATTTCCGATCGATCGTTATTTGATTCACCAGCCCTGCGTGCGACGGGACCTTTTCTCTACCTGCCTTTCTCTCTCTCTCTCTCTCTCTCTCTCCCTCTTTCTCTTGCGGCAGGTGTCTCGGCAGGAAGGAGACCGCAAAGTCACTTAATTGGCATCGCGTGCCGGCCGATCGTCCCGATCGCGATATCAGCAGGCCCGAGGAACGATCTCGCGGGAGCCGAGTAGCGAGACCGCCGCCACCACCCTTGAAGACCACGCGAGGACGGTGAAGGCGAGGGATGAGCGGGAGAGCCGACACCCTCCCTCCGAGTTCCGTAAGAAACGGCAGCCGGTGTAACTCCGCTCCGATCGCTGAGCGATCCGATTCCCGTCCGCATCGACTCGGTCGCGCCAGCCGAGGAAGCCAGGAGGATCTCGGCACGGGATCTCAATGGCTGCCCGGGTCCTTCGGTTCTTCGTGTTCTCCTCCGGGTGGCCGGGTGTCCGGTGTTACCACGACGACGACGACGATGACGACGACGACGACTCCGCTGTGCGGGCGCGACTACGACGGACTGCCAGCGCGCGCTCGATCACCACGTGTCAACGTCTCGCCGCTTTTGGCCGACGTGACTCGAAAGTGTCCACGTTGGGTCCAGACACTGGCGCGATTCGGTCCTACGGCTGACGCCGCGAGTCTCTACCTAGCAACGTGGGTATACGTATGCGTGATGGGAAGGACCCCTTCTTCCTCGGACACGCGGCGTGCACGAGTTCCGCGCTGAGCCTCAGGGTGGGGTAGGCGGACGCATACTTTCACTGGGACATACACGCGCGAGGGGGATTCGCGTCGACCTTATGACAGCGCGAGGCTGAGTTTTTCTCCGGATTACCCGGATGACACCGATACATCTTGATTGCGCGACCGTTGCCGCTACTACCGACGCTGCTCGGAGGAAGAAATATGCGTGTTGAAACCCACCGCTCGGAAATTGTCGGACGAATATTTTACGACACGGACGTTCATATGCAGAGCGGACTTTGCAAACTCGATTTCAGCCCATGTTTTATCCATGCGTTTCGATTTCACTTCCTTTCGGCGCAAATCCTTCGCTGTGCCGGGCATGAGTGTTGGAGATTGATTTCAGCTTGGGACGCGAGCGATTGGGCGACGAGGCGAGCTCGAGCGACTGTAACGAGTTGTAACCCCGAATTCGCAATCGTTAGTCTTCAATGTCCAGTTCGATTCAGTTCCGAGCAATTGTATCGAATTGTTATCCACAAGGGAGGGGGGAGAAATCACCGTGGAGAACGCCTTGACGCAGACCCTGTTCCGATATAGGTTTCGGAAACTTTGGCTCTAGTTACAAGGTCGGTAGACCTCAAGGGGACCGGAGAGTCAGATTGCTGAAAAATCGTGGTTGTTTTTGATAATATTTTCTGACGAACTGAATAAATGTACAAGAATGAAAATTTTAGGTATATTTATACAACATACGAAGAGTAGAAAAATTTTGTTTATTCACAAATACTCATATAAATATACGATATATATAGCTGAAATATAGTCTCATTTTTTTTTTTCAAGTCATCGCTTTTGCGGTAATATCTCGGCTCTCGGTGGATCCGATCAGAGCGAATTTTAGCTAGAAATCTTGAGGAGGCTTATCGTTATCCGGTGAACCACTACAAAAAAAAAATCGAACAAAATTAACAAAATGGCAGGTATTATTAGGAAAAAATCCAAATTTTTCGGTTCTTTTACAATAAAAAATTTAATATCTCGAAGTGAAATATTTTGACGGAATTGTCCATGGTTCATCTGAGAGCCAGATGAACAAATATTATTGCTTTAAAATTTCAAATTGATAAGAAGCTCAGTTTCGGAGAAATCATTGCAAAAAGTTGAACAATAAAATTTCGAGAAAAACGCGTTTAAAATTTAAGTGAACGCATATTTATATGAGTATTTGTTAAGAAACAAAATTTTTCTACCCTTCGTATGTTATATAAACATATCTAAAATTTTCATTCTTGCACATTTATTCAGTTCGTCACGGAATATTATCAAAAACAAGCACGATTTTTCAGTAATCTGACTCTCCAGTCCCCTTAAATTACGTAATTCAGATACGTTCCGTAATTGATCAGCTGATCCATTGTCAAGGTAATAAGTAATAAAAAATCTATCTATTTCTCTGTCTAATATTGCAGAATTAATAACAGAACCAAGTTTGTAAACAGAAATGGTATACAGCTGTGATATCCCAGCGTGATCAGCTGATCAATTACGTATCTAAGTTAGTTTAAGGTCAACCAACTTATAATTAACTTATAATTAAAGCCAAAGTTTCCGAAATCGACTTCGGAATAGGCCTGCAATTCCTTATCATCAAGTTGGTCGCTTTTGACTCGGCTGAATTCATCTTATCGATCCTTCAGGCGAGGAAACTTTATTCGCATTCAAAAGCGAACTTGAAGTTCAATACTTGGCCGAGGGCTACCTTCCAGGTATATGCGTATAATGTGTACACACACGGTTGTGTTTTCTACCGATTGCAAGTACACGATGTAATTTCTCAGCGAGTTCGATAGCTTCACCGTCCGCCAAGTGTTGACACCTTAACAGAAATTTATTGCTAGCTGTAATAAACCGACCGGTGATAATAAATAATTTTATTACTCGTACGAGTGACTCTATCACTCCACCATTCAGTTGTTCTTAAGCCTTTGTGCTCATTTCTGTCAACGTCGATCAAGCATTAACTTAAGCTTCAACTCTATTCAGACAAAAATCTGGACTTTGATGAAGGTTCTCAATCGACTTTGCTAGAAAACGGACATTAATCTCCGATAGCTAGTCTGACATTGGCTTCACATGCTGAAGATTGACGTTTATGAAATTACTCGCACGAGTGATAAAATTACTTATTATCACCGGCCAACTTATCGCGGCCAATAATGAATTTCCGTGAAGGGCAGTTCCGACCGCGACGTTCGAATATGGCGCTTCCGCAGCCATATTGGCTATCAGTCACGGTAGTACTTGTGACACTCACTTGAAGGCGCTCGAGAGACACCAGTTCGAACCAGTTCCGCCGTTCCTGCCGTGTTGACATTGCTGGCACGCTTCTCAGCGTCTACGGCCGGATTCCAGCGCGACACACATAACCCCGTCGCCGTTCATCCTGGATATCTTGCCAACGCAGGTGCCAACGCGAGCGTTGCGCGTTGTTCGTGTCGCGTCTGGTTAACAACCGAGGTTAACAAGCGAAGCTGCGATCGCTGGTGGAGAGGCTCCACGCACGGGTCTCCGTCGATGTGAATGGTGCTTAAGAGCCGTCGGACGTTAGGACGTTTCTCGCTCTCGTCGTGACGACTTACTAACGGCGTAATCATGGTGGCGACTTCGCCTCGGGTGGACGAGCTCGTGCAGTCGGTCAGCATGCATAATCCGCGCAAATGGATGTTCAACGGCTACATCATGCCGTTCGTGATAATGCAGTCCTTGTGGATCAGCTGCTGGATCTTCGTCTACGGCATCGACGACTACTACGACGCGGGCCTGGTCGGCATCGCGGCTATCGGCATGCTGCAGATCCTCCTGTGTCTGTGCTGTCAATGGTCCGTGCACATCCATACGTTCGTTAACTGCAGCTCGGTGAGTGCCATTCCGCCCGCCGGACTCCATTTGTTTGAACAATGGACACGTGGTCTTCTACGTGTGTGATCGCAATATGTCTCGTAACGTGGCAGCCATTCGAGCCGGTCTTCTGCTAGGCTGGTCACGTGCCTTCGGCGGGAATACTCGAACGGCGCGTTGTACTGTTAGTCGCTGTTATGTCTCCGCGTTTTCTTCGCGTTTTCTGCCTGGCGTCGGATTAATTATCGGAGGCAGGGAATTGTAAATGCGTGGGCGGATCACGATTTTCCCCGCTGCTTTGTCTCCATTGTTCGCTTTCGGTTTCCTTAGCCTAAGCCTTCCCGCTCGTTTCTGTCAAATTAAGCATTCCATCGATTGAACATTAGCACGAGTTTCAGCTGTATTCAGAGCAAAATCTGGACTTTGAAAGTTTAATCGACTTTGCCAGAAGACGCACGTTAATTAAGACTCCGATAGGTGGTCTAATATTGGCCTTACATAGCGAAGACGATTGATCTTCATTTTACTACTTCATGAATGGCATTCCAGGAAAAAAATCCTTACAAAGCCAAGATAGTCAAGGTAGTGCCAACACCGAATAATGGAAGCACCGAGCTGATCAAGCTGCATCACAAGGATCAACAGGAGCCATGGTTCATCTTTCAAAAGACCAAGTATCTTTGGGACTCGTCAAAGAAGTCATTCATAGGTCTGCAGTTTCCCACTAATCATTCAGTCAAGTATTACTGCGACTGGAAAGGATATCTCGATGAAGAGGAAATTGCAATGGCTGAGGAGAAATATGGCAAAAACATGTACGTCGTGCGCAACTGTTTATTCGATCTAATCGAATGTCCTCGAGTGATACACGTAAAAGAAACTTAAAAAAGAAAAACGATTTCTCTCCAGCTTGAACATGATCGTGCCTGAATTCTGGGAACTCTTCAAGGAGCGCGCGATCGCGCCGTTCTTCGTCTTTCAAGTCTTCTGCGTGGCGCTCTGGTGCTTGGATAAGTACTGGTATTACAGCATCTTCACGCTGATCATGCTCATCATGTTCGAGTGCACGCTAGTGCAGCAACAGTTGAGGAACATGGCCGAGATTCGCAAAATGGGCAACAAGCCGTACATGATCATGGTACGAATGACGAATCTTTGTTGCGAGTAGCGCTTGCTCTCTCTCTCTCAGTTCTCCCCATCACGCGAGCAATTCATCCACGCTTGTTCTCTCTGTCTCTTTTAGGTGTACAGAAATAGGCGATGGCGCTTGTTATTTTCAGATCAGCTGGTGCCTGGAGACATCGTTTCCATCACGAGGCCTCGTCAGGATAATCTGGTGCCATGTGACATGCTGCTGTTGCGAGGTCCTTGCGTGGTCGACGAGAGCATGCTGACAGGTACTTGAAATAAGCCAACTAGCGTCTTTAAGTCTTGGCGTGAGTCGAGCGTACGACTGTAGCAACTGCGAAAATGCGTAGGTGAATCTGTTCCGCAAATGAAGGAGCCCATAGAAGACATGGATGGAAATCGAATTCTGGACATCGAAGGTGACGACAAGCTGCATGTGCTCTTCGGTGGCACGAGGGTCGTACAGCATACGCCTCCCAGCAAGAACACTCCCGGTCTTCGAGGTATTGCTCGATAATGTGTTATCACTTACAGTAGGATCAATTATTAATAATACTAGGACAGCATTATTAAAAGCAGATTTTGCTTTCCGTCATTGTTTCGAGATATATTACTTGATATATTTTTATATAGATCAAGGTGAATTAATACATTATTCAAATGATGTCTTGACAGCATTGTTAAATACAGATTTCGCTTTCCATTACGTTTTCTCTCGAGCAGGACGATATTGTTTCAGCGGCCGACAACGGATGTATCGCTTATGTGCTGCGCACTGGCTTCTCCACGTCGCAAGGCAAACTCTTGAGGACGATATTGTTCGGTGTTAAACGAGTCACGGCCAACAACCTCGAGACCTTTGGCTTCATCTTGTTCTTGCTGATCTTCGCGGTCGCCGCTGCCGTGTACGTCTGGATAAAAGGTAGTTCTTTAATGCTGCTGTTGGATATTGAAGTTGCAAATTGGTGGATTGTATCACGTGGATTTCGTCGGTTTCAGGCAGCGAGGATCCCACAAGAAACAAGTACAAACTGTTCTTGGAATGCACACTGATATTAACTTCCGTGATACCACCGGAACTGCCGATAGAATTGTCACTGGCTGTTAATGCGTCTCTGATGGCTCTGTCCAAGTTAGGTATTTATGACAAATCTCTAATTTCGATAAAGAGAACTCGGTCTTGACCTCATATGTGTCACTATCGCCTTGTGCTTTTGCAGGTGTCTTCTGTACCGAACCCTTCCGGATCCCCTTCGCCGGCAAGGTCGATATTTGCTGCTTCGACAAGACTGGTACACTCACCAGCGATAACCTGGTGGTCGAGGGTATCGCGGGAATCGAGTAAGTGGACATAGCAGTGAGGTAGTTCTTGCTCATAATCCCTATCGAAAGCTCTCTGTTTTTCTGTTAACACAACTTGCCTTTTTAAGCGGTAACTCGGACGTGATTCAACTCTCGGATGCACCTCTGGAGAGCGTTCAAGTACTAGCCACGTGCCATTCCCTCGTCCAGTTAGACGATGGCATCGTCGGTGACCCATTGGAAAAAGCCACTCTCAAGGCCATCAACTGGTGTCTTACGAAAAGTTTGTATCGACTCGTCGATGCGTTACATTACGTTTCGTATTTCGTATACCGTTACGTTACGTTATCAATGTATCTGATTCAGGTGACTCTGTGATCCCGAAGAAGGGCAAATCCCCGGTGTTGAAGATCGTGCAGAGATACCATTTCTCGCCGGCTTTGAAGAGAATGAGCGTTGTGGTCGGATATAACGTTTCCGGAGCTTCAGAGACGCATTACATGACTACGGTGAAAGGCGCGCCGGAGACCCTGAAGCACATGGTGAGTGAGGCAACTATTGTCCATCGTTTTACGGTTATTCTTCTCTTCTCACAGCTATCAAGTCGAGCGACATAATGGGTCTGCTGTTATCTTTCTCCCGCAGTTATCCTCCATACCGAAAAACTACGAGTCCACATACCTGTCCCTCTCACGTCGTGGCGCGAGGGTGCTCGCTTTGGGATACCGGAAGCTCCCTGGCACATTATCCTCCCAGGACCTGAGGGAGTTGACTCGCGAGAAGCTGGAGAACAATCTCACGTTTGCAGGCTTCGTCATTATCAGTTGCCCCCTCAAACCCGACTCGAAGGCCGTCATTAAGGAGATCGTCAATTCCTCGCATTCGGTTCGTATATCTGATTAAGCGACTTTCATCTCAACTGTACTGTAGTTGAGGAATCTCGCTTACGATGCGATGCGGTTGTCAAGTAATGACGAGCAATTTTGAACGGGCCTGTTTCTCAGGTGGTGATGATAACTGGCGATAATCCGCTGACGGCTTGTCACGTGAGCCGCGAGCTGCACTTCACGAAGAAGCCCAACACGCTCATATTGAGCGAGGATGGCGACGAATGGCAATGGGAAAATATAGACAAAACGAAGCAGCTTCCTCTGTGCACGAGCAACGTCGCGCCGCGCAAGGAGATCTGGCACGATTACGCGCTCTGTGTGACTGGCGAGGTGCGTATTTAGTAGTGGTTTTACAACCACAATCACTCGCTCCGATTATGATACAGATAAGATTCGAGGGAAGGGAAGGAAAGAAAAGGGAAAACGTAGTCGCGCAGCGAGGAAACGAAGGAAAATCGTTATCGCTCTTCATGTCGTTTATATTCAATATGATTCCTTAGACGATGTTGAATACATAAATATTAACGGCCAGCGCACTGATAACAATCGTCCTTCAGGGTTTAGCATATCTGAAGGAGAAGCAACACGAGCTCCTTCGGAAGTTGCTGCCGCACATCGTGATCTTCGCGCGATGCGCACCGAAGCAGAAGGAATTCATCATCGTATCCCTGCGATCTCTCGGCTACACGACGTTGATGTGCGGAGATGGAACGAACGACGTCGGTGCCTTGAAGCACGCGCAAGTGGGTGAGTTAAGCGCGACGGAAAAGTGCATTGTTACCACATCGTCGACCCGGCTGCTTTCAACATGATCTACAGCCTGGCCTTGTTCGGCCTATTTTCAAAACGCGAGATAACCGATGACCGGTCAGCAATGTGTTAGCATCAGGCCGTCCTGTCAGGAACCGATCCCGAATGCTATTTTTTTTCTGTTTCTCTCTCTCTCTCTCTCTCTCTTTCTCTCTGAATAGGTGTCGCGATCCTCTCCAGTCCACCCAGAAAGATGCTTCCCGACAAGCGGGAAGATTCGCGGAACGACATGTCGCTTATAAACGGGCCGAGAGCGAATTCGAAAACACCGTTGGTAAACACTCGCACGAAGCTGCAGAAGATCCTGAAGGATATCGAGAACGAGTCGCAGGAGATGCCCACGACCGTGAAGCTCGGCGACGCCTCCATCGCGGCGCCCTTTACCAGCAAGATGTCCTCCATCCAATGCAGTAAGTCTCTCGCAAGGCACTCGTTACCTCGGTGTGGGACAAGGGACGATTTGCTTTTGCAGTCTGCCACGTGATCAAGCAAGGACGTTGCACCTTGGTCACCACCCTGCAGATGTTCAAGATCTTGGCGTTGAACGCGCTGATACTCGCCTACAGTCAGTCGGTGCTGTATTTGGACGGGATCAAGTTCAGTGACATGCAGGCGACTCTTCAGGGTGTGCTATTGGCGGCGTGTTTCCTCTTCATCTCGCGCTCGAAACCCCTAAAGACTCTGTCGCACCAGAGACCGCTGCCAAATATCTTTAATCTTTACACCATCGCGACCGTGTTACTGCAGTTCACTGTGCACTTCGTCAGCCTCGTTTACTTGGTGAGAGAGGCCACCGCTTTGTCTTCTCAGACGTGAGTTGTACAAATCAGTTACTTGTTTATTATATAAGTTTATACGAATAGTCTCTACGAGACGTCGTGAGGATTTGATTAGAAAATGCTACTGGCAATTTATCTTTGTTTATCTTGACACATTTTCTTTCTTCGAGACGCAGATAGCATATAGATGATATGACTGCAACTGTCTTTTTGTAATCATCTCCAAAACCCTACTGAGAAGGTATAATCACAAATTCGTCTATATTCGCTACTGACTGTTTCACAGGGACCACAAATTGGCAGCCATGTTGCATGGCAATTCCAGCGAAAAACTGGATTCAGCGGCTGCGGCTATGCATTCAGCTAGCAGCGACGATGAGGAGCCTTTTGAGAAGAATTTAATAAACAGCACTGTATATATAATCGCGATGTCTCTTCAGGTTTCCACCTTTGCCATTAATTATCGGGTGAGTCGATCCGCGCATATTTTATCGTGCGCATCGATGTCGATATGTGCGTCATACGATACCGTTGACGAGCGATTTTGTGTTCCGTCAGGGTCTGCCATTCATGGAGAGTCTGCGACAGAACAAGGCTCTAATGATAAGCTTGTTAAGCAACTCCATCGTCATTCTGTTGCTGGCCTGTGGATTTCTGCCCGACATGGCGATGCACTTTGAGATCGTGGACTTTCCAAGCCAGGTAAGCGACTGCGTCGTGTGAGACGAGCGCCACCCCCGAACGCGTTCACCTCAAGTTTACCTTTTCTCTGTTGCATGTTGCAGTTCCGTGCGACGCTGGTGCAGGTATTAATCGCGGATTTTGCTTTCGCTTACATCGTCGACAGAGTCTGCCTGTGGTTGTTCGGTGAGGGAAGGCAACACAAGCTGTGATGAAACTATCTTTAATCGATGACAGACTGTATCAAAGATTTTTCTATGTAACTTTTGTTACTGGTCTTGTTCCACGTTAAGGGCTGACAATTTTTATATTTAAGGATCGATGATATTCCTGTGAATAACACGTACACTTGTTCGTGCATGCAAAAACAAACATACATGTACAAAACACACACACACACAAACACACAAACGCATACACATACGATATACACGACTTATTGTCCGCAATCGCATTTGATATTTCACATCGGAGAGATCAGAATACTTTTTGTTTCGTATACGAGGCGAAGAGAAATATGATGCGGAAAATATAAATGTGCGCAGAACGGTTTTACGATCGGCCACCTCGATCGGCTCGCCTAAAGGATGGAAAATTGCTCACTCTTCATCAACATTGTCAACCTCTTCTCCGTGGAACAAGAGACTGCGCTCTAAAACGGTCGCTATTTATTGTCGATGTTGACACTGTGTACGGTAATAATTGCCAAATCAGTATTTGCCTTGGCATATTAGCGTATCTAACGACGACGGCGCGGAAAATATATTCTTTGGTCACTCGACTCGGACGAAAATCCCCGTCGGCCATCCGTTGGTCTTATTTTCCCGGGAATTTAATAATCCTGTCAGCGTATCGACAACGAATATTAGTCTCATGAAGCAGCACTCGAAAGAGCAGAAGGAGAGAAGGAGAAAGAGAGGGAGGGGAGACGCGTGTATTCGTGTATATAAAATGTAGATGACGAATTTCGTTTCACGATGCGACGTTCGCATACAGATTCTCACGTATGGCAAACGTCGCATCACGACAGCTTGTACGCGACCACCGCTTGGTGCGAATCGCGTACAAGTGGAACCGCGTCATTTCGCAGCGACGACGATGCGGCAACGATCCTACATTTGTTCACGATGTGCGATTGTGCGAACCACTTTTCTAATCGTTTATCCGACTCTTCACGACTCTGTGTGCGTACATATCCAGCAGTTTCATACGTTTCAACAATTGCATTCCACTTCGACGGCGTCGATCGCCAACGGTACGGGACACACCTTCGCGGCACACATCTCGCCTTTGCCGGATGAAATCTACCTGTAGAGTTGTGTTTTACTTGTGATTTTCGTTACGTGCGTGTGCGTTCGGTTGCACCGGTCGATTCTGGTCTCTGTCCCTCGCGGTCACGCACAGCCTGTTGGGTGATCCGCGCTCGAAGGGACGTTGATTTGTCCTCGTATCTTAGGTCATTGTGAACGTGTACTTGGTCATTAATTGTATAGTTAAATATTATATTGTACATTTATAAGGATGACTAATAAAACGTTCAGAATGATGATCGAAAGCCGACTCGCCCCGTTTATAATATATGGCAAAAACGACACATCATGCAGTACAGAATAGGCTTACTGGAGTCATCAGCCCCGTTGACGTTATACGTTTAATTAGCATTTAAATATATATCGAGCAGCAAGTGATCAGCAAGTGATCAGCAAGTTTCACGCGCACTGAGGAAAGTCGTATCAGCAATGTTTACGCACCGATGGAGGGGATCATTAGCGGCCTGGAAAGGGTATTGATGAAGGTCATCACTTTTCACTTACGATTGTCGACGTTGAAATCGGAAGATTTTGTTTTCGCCTGTGTGTGTTGTAATCAACTGCCGAACTTGCAAGATGTCGCAAAAAATGTGAGAGTCATCCTTTGCTTCTCGCTCGTGGAGGTTCCGAATGATTACGAATATCTAAAAAAGAATATACAGAGATATCCCGAGAAGGAGGCTATCGGCAGATTCTGACTAAACTGACCGACTCGGTCGATAGAGCAGTCGACACGGAAGACTAGACATTGTTGTTGTGAAAACAAGTAAGAAATTTCTCCCTTTCTTCCTTTATACATTGTTAAGAATCGTCCATGGACAATTCTAACGGCCGGTTCTTTGCGAGCGCGATATTTCGCGCAACGAGAGCGTTTATCACCGCTTACGCGAAAGAATGCAAAAGATAAATATATCGAGAATCAGTCGTTGTCCAATCCCGTTTCACACGGTTTCTGCGCAAAAACACGCTTCGACAACAATAACTGAAAATAAACAAACGGTTGCTCACGAGCGTGTCGAAATATTATTGGCACTCTCTGAGCCAGTTAAGGCCGATAACGATATTCCGATACACGCTTCCGCGAATTGGTGCTTGTCAAATTAATTAAGTCGGGATTCGGCGTGTCGTCTCATTAGCATGGACATCATCATCCCAGTGGCCGTAATTTCACAGAGTGAAACACACAGTCTGTTCCACGAAAAAGTATACGGCAGCGCGTCGAAAGTATCCTAAAAAGCAAAGGCCCAGGCCGAACAGAAAATCATGATCAAAGTGACGTCAAGATGACGAGGAAAACTTATTTTTTCATCACGAATCGGTTATTCGACGTTTATGTCACTTCGATGTTTATTTTCTGTTCGAAACGAGCTTGGTTTAGTCGTACTCCAATGACAGTATAAGAAGAGACTAGCGACATTTTTGTATTCAAAGACACCTTTTTGTGATTTAGTCCTGTGTTACACCCGGCTTAAATTTAAACCACCCGTAGGGGTAGTCTAAAGGAGGATTCGCACCTGGGAAAGAAAGCAGAAAGACAGAATCCAATCGGAAGTCGCGCTGGCAGTCTGTCTCTCTTCTATCTCTCTCAAGAGCGAGACAGGCAGATTAGCGCGACTTTTGATTGGATGCTGCCTTTCTGTTTTCTGTTTTCCTTTTGCAAAGTTGAAAAATTTTTGAAACCCCCTCCGCCCTCCTCCTCAATTTTGCAAAATCTGAATACACAGTTGCAAAGAGTATGAAATACACTACAACTTTCATATAAACCATTTTTTGCATATGTCTTGTATTTTAAAAGATATATATATATATATATATATGCTAAAAATAAAAAGGATTTTTCTTTTTCGAAGGGTGGTTTCATCCTCTCAGACTGAAATTCCGCACGAACAAAAAATAGTTTTGCATTACGGATGAACTTACTTTACTTCCACACAAAATTTCGTAATTTTGTTTTGAATTTCCGGTTTCCCTACCTTTCCTTGTCAGTAATAAGTTCAGTCGACTCCATTGTCAATTATTGCTTGGTACGCTTTCGACTGGAGTTTCAATTTTCCTATTTCATATTTACGCAGTAGCCCAGGCAGAACAGAAGATCACGATAATATCAAAATGACGAGAAAATGATCGAATCATGATGGAAAAATGAGTTTTCCTTATCATTTTAACGTCACTTTGATGTCATCATGATTCTCTGTTCCGCCTGGGAGAGAGCGCCATAGTCTTCTGATCCTGCTCGACAGTAGCTTGAGAATAAAGATTTTTTCCCTCTTGGTTCATTCTTTACGTCACAGGATCACAGGATTCTCAATTGGATTCGCATCAAGAGACGATGCAGGCCAATCCATTGTGACGATGCCATTTCCACTCTATATGCAAAAGCGACTTCGATGTTTGGGCTCATTATTTCCCCGAAGCTCCCAATTGCCTCTATCCTTCTTGTAAAATTTCTCAGCAGACGTCAGTGAACACTTCTGATAAATATTGAACATTTTTCAGCACCTAGATTATTACCGGTAAACAAATAGAGGCGAGCCAAAATCACGCTTACAGAAACCCGTACAGCACATGAAGTTGAAAAAAATGTTGCTGCAACGTTGCCACAATGTTGCAATGCTGCTGCAACGTTGTAGCAATATTGCTGCAACTTCTGTGCTGTATGGGAATCCAGGCGGAAAGGAAAATCATGATAACATCAAAATGACCGAATCATGACGAAACAATGAGTTTTCCTCATCATTTTGACGTCATTTCGATGTCATCATGAGTTTTTGTTCTGCCTGGGATCCCTAATTATGGGTCCATTGGATGATTCTACTATTCCTTGTGCAGGCGTCCAGGTTCGAAAAGAAACTTCATCCGTAACGATTATGTTGTTCTTTTTTTATTAAAATTTCCCGAGTCTACGCCAGTCGTTTTGTGACATGTTTTTGTGTGAGAGAACTTTTTGAATCACGGAACGAGATATTTTATCTTCAATTCATGTAAACATCGTCTGGTAGTGTTTATCCCAACGTTCATCCCTATTACGAAGCTGACCTTGAATTTGGCGTAACGTTCAAACAGACGGACAATCATTTTGTTCTCTCTCTCTCTCTCTCTCTCTCTCTCTCTCTCTCGATGTCGTACAGCTTAAATCCCTTTCGAATAAACCGTTAGCATTGCCCACTTCTTTGTACCGTCCCATTTATTTCCGAACGAATGACTTTGACTTTCTAAACTATTTTCATACATGCATGAGCATATATTAATATATCAGTTATACGAAACTAATACCGCTTCGTATCGCTTGAGCTACTTTGCCCTCATTATGATAATTTTCACTCTAACAAAAACTAACGTTCTCGTAATGCCAATAAAATGCTAAAATCCATATCCTGAATTCCTCTTTTATCACTAAAAGTGACTCTAAAGTTGGCTTGCAAGCAATTAAGAGGCTCATAGGCCACTTTTATAGTTTATAATTTTGACGATAAAAGAGAGTTCAGAATATAAGCCATAGTGTCCAGCACACTCCAGCACTTCGCGATACTCTACAACAAATGGCGCCACAGTGAATTATCTTGAACAAGGCCGGTCGGTCGTTTCTGGAAAAACTTTCCATCTTTTCGCTGCGCAGTACAGTGTTTTCTAAGGTTTTCTAAGGTTTCCAGCATCGCTGATTACGAATGTGATATAAAAATCAGAATTTGGCAGTTAACAATTGCTAATCTCCTGTCAATATAAACAAAATCATTGTTTTAACACAGTATATACGTTGCAATAGAGCATACAAGCAAAGTTCAACATAAATGTGAAGTCTCTGATATGAAGTACGATGAAAAGTAACAAATTCAGCGAAGAGAAGTTGCAAAAATTAATTTGTTTATAAAAAATTTGTTTAAACAATGTATTTAGAAAATGATTGTTTTGAAAACCTGATGCTTGATGATTCGAAAACATCAGGTCCAGGCTACATATTTGGTTTTCGTGAGAACAATTCTGTTGTAAGCAAATTACTTGGCAACTTTTTTCCGCTGAATTTGTTATTTTTCATCATACTTCATATCAGGCTTCACATTTATGTTAAACTTTGTTCGCATACTCTATTGCAACGTATATACTGTGTTAAAACAATGATTTTGTTTATGTTGACAGGAGACTTGATAATTTCTTACAAATTCCTCTTAATACTGCAAAATTTGAAAGAATGTTTTCAAAAATCGGGCTCGACAGTTTTCCTCTACATTGATCAACGTTTAATTTAAAAAATTAAAAAAGGAAAGACGCATCCCGATTGCTATGAAAAGATTGCTAAAAAAACATTGCTACAAAATTGTGTGATTTTTGAACAGTAAAATTCTATTTGTTCCCACTGTGCGGCGCACGCGCCGCGTGTTACGATTGGCCGCGACGCGGACGTGTCGATACAATCGATCGATACAATCGACTCGGGCGAAGCTGTGCGCGCGGCCGGCCATTGCCTATTAATCTCGGCTTTTCTCGGCGAAAGGCACGGGCACTGATTTGTCCGGCGAGTCAGGATCGTCTCATCATCGTCATCGTGGTCGTCGACGCGGCGCTCAGTCGATCGTCGCCACTGTTCGCGAACACATCGCGTGCGTGTATTTCACACGCGCTTCGCAACGCGAGCCGCTTCCGCTCCTCCGACGCGATAAACGCCGGTAAACGCGGCGCACCTTCGCCGTATGTGAGCCTCACGCTCCGCGAACGTTAACGATAACGACGGCATATGTCGGTGTAGGCCGAGAACCGCCTGGCGAGTTCGCTTCTACGCGAACGTGACGCACGCTTTATTTTCGCGCCATGTGACTGCAGTTCCCCGCGTGAGGAGAGAGAGAGAGAGAGAGAGAGAGAGAGAGAGAGAGAGAGAGAGAGAGAGAGAGAGAGAGAGAGAGAGAGAGAGAGAGAGGAGCAGTGGGGCGACGTAGATTCCGCTGTTTTTTCGCTGAATTTTGTTTCGTTTCGCGCTCGGAAGAATCGATTCAGTGTGTTTCTCCCCGTAGCTGCTGCCGTCAGCAAGTCGATCGTCGACGAGGTGGCTCTCGCGAATCCGACGCGGGGCACGTCTCGCAGTTTTAATCCCCGGAATTACGGCACGGCATCTCAGACTCCAGGATCAAGGAAAAAGGTATGTTGAGATAGACAGATCCATGGACAAAGAGAGAGAGAGAGAGAGAGAGAGAGAGAGAGAGAGAGAGAGAGAGAGAGAGGGAGGGAGGGAGGGAACAAGGAAGGAATGTTGCATGTTTGTTTTGAAAAAGACCGTTTTTCAAAAGTGCGCGCGCAGGGACGCGGCGCGCGCATCTCGTGCGCGTCACGCGTGCAGAATTTGTTAGAGGAAATATCCAAGTCAGATCGAAGAGAGAGATAGGGAGCCGCTCACGGTTATTAATCACATATCGAGGTCACGAACGCCGCGCGCATCGAACTCCTCTCGTGAGCAGCCGGCGTCTAATGAAGCCAAGCGGCCTCATTATTTTCGGGGCACTAGGAAGAAGCGGGGCTAAAAGGTTCGCTCTTCTCCGAAGTGCTTCTCAACTAGTGCGATAAGTTGGAGCGAGACGGATGTATTTTCTCTCGCTCTAACTTGCACCGCACTAGTGTGCACTAGGCGAAAAGAAGGGATGTGTGGCCGCTCTCTCGGGGGTTTTCAGCAACAAATTTTTACGACGAATGTCGTCGGAGCGGTCGTCGAAACCGGCTGGACGTGATCGGACGCCGGCGGGGGGCGGGGGGGGGCGCTCCCTTAGCGGTGAAATTCTCGCGGTTTCGGACTCGCACCTGCGCGATCTGCTCTCTGTCGCGGGGTACTTTGTAAAAATAGCAAGAGGTTTGTTTCTCATCGCCGAACCGCCTGCACTCCCTCTCTCGCGCAGGTTCTCTCTCTCTCTCTCTCTCTCTCTCTCTCTCTCTCTCTCTCTCTTCCCCACCAGCTCCCGACTGTGCACCTTCTTTTTATTATTTCCTCTTTTTCCTGTTATTTTTCTCTTATTATTCCAGTATCATTTTTCTATTTTTAGCATTTCTTTTCCAGTTCCTCGTATATTAGTTTAGCGACGAGAAACAGACGTAAGGCCGGGCGGGTTTCCGCGAATGCAAAACCGGCCGGTTACGTCGCGCGTAATCGCTGAGAGCAAGGTGACCCGCCGAGCATCCTCGCGCGAGCGGGATGCTCAAAGTCCAAGTTTGCAGCGTCGATCGTCGGATTTTCGACGTGATTGACGAACAAAGCGACCCTCCCGGCTGCGTGTCAAGGTCAAGGTTAAATGACTCGAATTCGAAGCCGAAGAGCGTGCTCATGGTCGGTTCGCGGGAAGGCAGATTATCGAGGCGGCTTTTCCGGCGAAAAGTAAAATCGCTTTCCCACCGATGGAAAAGAAAGAAAGTTTCCGGTGAAAATCCAGCGTTCTTATCGATGGTCGATGTTACTGATAATGCGTATCAGTAACATGTGCATATTTTCGGAGTAATGTGTGCATGTTTCCCGATAACAGTCATCTTTTGGACGCGCCTGTGTGGGAGAGAGCGAGTCGTCGCGCGCGGCGCGGCGGCCGTACTAAATATAAAAGACGACCGTTTATATAACTAAATAACAAATGGAAACACGCCGTATCGTCCGTCGACGCGACGTAGCCCCGCGCGCGCCGTCGGTAATGCAGAGCGAGACGCGGTCGCCCGTCGAAATTACTCGTCGTGCTGCAGGCTGCACGTAACGTCGAGGGGACGTTACGGGGAAGAAGCGAGGAAGCGGAGGGAAGATGCGAGATGGAGGAGGGGCAGGGGGAGGGGAGGGAGGAGGAAGCAATCGCCGAGTGTTCTGCCGGACTCGGTGCGAGCTGTTTAATTTACCTCTCCGGGAAGCGACGGACTTTTCCGCTCGCGTTATCGGTTGCAGCGAACTGCGATTATGAAACGCAAGCATTATGAAATGCAAGCATCTTCAACTTTATGCCACCCGATAACACATCATCTCGTCATCTCGTCGTTTTGACCGGTGTCACAATAGACGCGCATGTAAGCGATAACGGAGAACCGTCCGAACGGCCGTAATTCGGGAGATAATGTCGCGCTCCGGGGAGATACCGTGCTTTTCAAGAATCTCGTCCCCCAAGTCCAAGTCGTGTCAAAGAAGAAGAGGAAGAAGAGGAGGAGGAGGAGCGGCAAGACGACTAGGGTTGCCAGATGGCCAGATGGGATTTTCGGGATTGTCCCGGAATTTTTAAGCTTGTCCGAATTTTTGAGCCGTGTCCCGGAACTTAAGTCTTCTGTCCTGGAAAATCAGAATTTCAACAAAATTATAAGCATAATACTCATGTTTCTAATTGGTACTAGAGAGAAATCTGAGAGCAGTCAGCGCGATTTATAAAGTGAAAAAATTTGTGACGTGCCACCTGAGAAAATTGATGTCAAGTAAGCCATTTCTGTAGTATAAAAAAAAAAGAAACAAGGAAAAGAATTCAATTACACGGGTTATTATGTCTAAACTTCTTTCTGCCGATACCTAATTCGCGCATTTATTTATTGCAAGTACACAACGACATCTCTTAACCCCCTTCTTAGGCCAGTTGCAACAGCAACTATTTTGGTTTCAAGTGAGACTTAAATACATCTCTGTCTTTTATTTATTAAGAAAGATAAAGATAGACTTATGTTTAAGTCTCACTTAAGACCAAAATAATGTCGGTGCAACTGGGCCTTACCCCTCCATCTCTCAAATTCAAATAAAGTTCTCTAACGACCTATTTTTCAACCGTCGCCTAAAAAATGTCCCGGAAATCATCAGTTTGCATCTGGCAGCCGTAAAGACGACCGAAGGCGGCGACGATTTCATTTGCGTATGACGCGCTGATTTCGCCCCGCGAGCTTCACTTCCGCAACGAGACTCGACGTGTCCTCGCGGTCGGCTCGCCCGGGCTCGCGAGGACCAGTTTCCGCCTGTTAACTCGCTCTCACGCGACCCACGAGCAATTGACCTCGGCGAGATTGATTGGAAAATAACGGAACCTTAAGCTCGCAGCTCCGCACGGGCGCGTCTTTGGTCGACCACGACGACGGCGTCGACGTCGACGACAATGGAACTGCATCGCGTCGTCGGTCGGTCTTTTGCACGGAGGAGCACACCCTCGGGAGGGGACACGCTCCTTCCTTTGTTCCTCGCGATATTTTTAACCCGAGTGATCTTGTTTTATCGCGAAGCGATTCCTCCGTTGCAACCGTTCTTTTTATATCCGACGCGCGGTTTTTTCCGCCTCGCGCCTCTAGCGTTTTCTTCCTCCTCCTCCTCCTCCTCCTCCTCCGGCGATCGTCGCCTCTTCGGGGGAGGGGCGATCGACGTGTCCTTTTGTCGCCGGCTCGATCTCGCGAATCTTTGCCGAAAGATTTTTTTTATCTGCTGGTAAGATCACCGCGGTCTATCAATATGGTAATAAGCGGGTGATTCGTATACATTTAAGGGTCAGGATTTGGTAATCTACAATAAAGTTTCAATACTGTACAGACGATCATAGTATTGATCAAGACAGTTAAATCGACGCACACAGTGGGGCCGGATGACATTCTTTGGCTCAAAATTCTCTAGAGACCTGAATTTCCACCGAACCGAGCACCGACACCAATGGATGAGGTTGATCCTGATTAAATTCCGAAGAGATCTGTCTTGCCAAAATAAAAAGAAAAAAATTTTTTCTCGAATTACTAGCTCCAAAAGAGGAAAAATTATCGTTAAACGCGAGAAACTTGTGAAATACTCATTATTCGATACTTATTTCTATCTAATAGCGTATTCAGCGGATTGAAACTATGAAACCAATCAACAAACACCTCGAGATTTATCGATCTTGAACCGGAAATCCATTAACCCAAAACTCATATGCCCAAAATACAAAAACATCAAATATAGACCTGTTAAGCACAAAACCGAGGGATTTGGAGTCTTAAGCCCATGGTCAATCAACCTAGGAATCTATCAATCCGAGAACTTTTCAGCTCGTGGATGCATGAAGCGGTATATATCAAGAGCCTCAGATTGAGTTCAAGAACTCAATCTAGCCATAGCTCGAGAACCTAATAATACTCGACATTGAATATTCAGCTATAAAACATTAAGTTTTAAGACAAACCCTAAACCCATGAACCCTGAACCGATAGTTTTTTTTCAAAATTTCGGCTAGATAGATCTCTTTGGAATTTATTCAGGTTCAACCTCATCCATTGGTGTCGATGATCGGTTGGAAATTCAGGTCTCTAGAGAATTTTCAACCAAAAAATGTCACCTGGCCGCACTGTGCGACGCCGCGACCAGGGTCGTGTCTAATTAGATAAGTCCCGAGGTGTTAGACTTTTCAGGCGATTGCAGTCCCATCATGGAGCAATTTTCCGCTAGCAGGTTTGGATGATTGTTGCGTCGCGACAGATATTTTGTACTTGCTGTCTTGATGCCTGTTCTCGAACTGTGCACATACATGTAGGTACGAATGTATCTGCTCGTTGGAAACAAACCATGATGCGTCCACGATTGCACGTAGTACCTTTGATTGGAAACGCTGAAGGATTTCCAGGTTGGAATTGCTCGCTGTAGCCCATAGCATTTGCCGAAAGACGAGCACGATGCTTCAGCGATGGCCGCCGCGCCGGCCGGCCGGCGGAATGTCGCCGCGATTGTCATTCAGTGTTAACGAGAATAAATGACGAGTACGTGCGTGCGGAGGAATCCATGGGTCAGCGCGTGGTCGCGATGTCGTCGCGAGAAGCGAACGTCGACGATCAGAATGCGCTTCGCGACGCGTCGTCGAACGTCGCGGTACGTCGCGCCAGTATCCTTCCCGATCAATTGACGATGACGCGCGCGCGCGCGCGCGCACGGCGGTATAAATCCTCGTTCCGCGTGCGGCTTCCATCTGCGCGCTTAATTAGCCGCGCGTTTATGTCGACGCTGACAGTCTCTCGACGTGATTGCTGACGCGAACGGGCTAATAAAAAACCGATGCGCGAAACATCCCTGGCGACGCGCCAGCTGATAGTCCTTGCCGGAGGACTCGCGTATTAAAAATATCGGCGCAGCAATCTTGTAACCCGAGAGATACTGAGAGAGTGAGAGAGGGAGGGGGGGGGGTGAGGAGAGACGTGAGT